GCAAATGTAGTCCACCCTCTGCCCTTTTTAGTCACCTGTTTCTCTCTCTCTCTCTCTCTCTCTCTCTCTCTCTCGTAGCACGACAGGACCCGAATCTCAAATTAGTGCCGGCATCACACTCTGACTGTCAGTGGAAATCTCGAGGTCCACCATAGCCAAGAACCAGAGCGCCCGCTCTGTCGCCGGAGGGGAGCATCTGTGGAGATGTCAGAGGATGGCTTGACAGTAAATGAAAAATAACCACAGGCAATAGAAGCCATCGCTGTCCAGGTGCTCCCACCGAGGTATCTGGTGTACACCTGCCTGGCCTCTCTATCTTCAGGCACGACGGCTGTGCAATAACGGACACGACTTGAGCCGAGAGTTATGAGGTCCCTGTTTAACCTGCGGGCGATGATTAAAATGTTCATTAACACCGTTCATTAACAGGTGATCAGGTACGTCATCCCGCCTTGCCGAAGACCACCTGGCCCCACCTACGCGGCTGCTCATCTCCGCTCTGCTGTGAACGCACCCCTCTGATTAATAAAGACCAAGCTCTCTCACACACAATGGGGATCCGCATTAGTCAAAGTAAACACAATAACCCACATTACCCACACACGGCTGCACACTCATCTACACCTATTCTACCAAAGCAGAGGCGCGAACAACAAAACGGCTTCACTTCCAGAGCCCAACAGGGAAGAGTAAATACAATCCGCCATGTAATGAATTTGAAACATGAAATTATTAACGCTTTTCTGGCTGCACTAGTGAAGAATGGCCATCACTGACTCATTAACTGTGGCTGTCATTGGAGACAGGCGAAGGCCCGGCACGTTTATTCATTTTTAAATAGCACCCTGATCCATTTCCTAAACTAAGATTCATTTAGCCTGTCAGAGGCTCTGTAATGAATGCATTACAAGTAAAGCAGGGCTGATGAAGCAATGAATCCATTGCAATTTGAGTGCCAAAATCTCACACTGTGATAGACCTGGGCGGCATATGAGTAGTTTGAGAGGCTCTCATTTGATGAAGAACTAACTACTTACTGTGTAGTATACACAGGGGGAAAAAAAAAGATAAAAAATGATCCAGCTAAAATGTCAAAAATTATCAGGCTACAAAAGATTGAATTTACAAGCAATCTTTTTATCAACTTGTTTTCTTTCAATTAGCACAGGTTTGGTATTTTTAAAAGGCCGGTTTTTGACAGGGAACACCAAATTAGGTAAAGGATTTTCAGCACAGTATAATTTAACAACAAGAAATAACTTTCAAAGTGCATTTAAAAAACATTTATGTAAATTAAAGTAATATTAAGGTAATATTAATTTAGTGTGCTTAATTACAGATCTAAATACTGAAAAAAATTACACAATTAATCATGCCCCCAACTCATATGGTAAGGTAAGGTAAGGTAATTTTATTTGTCCCCTTGGGGAAAATGATTTGCAGCATTATCAACAGGCATATATACATTACCATTCAAATGTTTGAGGTTGGTAAAATTTTAGAATGTTTTTGAAAGACATCTCTAATGCTCAAAAAGGCTGCATTTATTGGATTAAAAATACAGTAAAAACAGTAATACTGTGAAAAATGTTATTACAATTTAAATATATTTTGAAATGTAATTTATTCCTGTGAAGGCAAAGCTGAATTTTCAGCAGCCATTACTCCAGTTTTCAGTGTCACATGATCCTTCAGAAATCATACTAATATGCCGATTTGGTGCTCAGGTAACATTAACATTTATTTTTATTACCAATGTTGAAAATGGCTGTGCTGCTTAATATTTCTTTTCTTTGATGAGCAGAAATTTAAAAAGAACAACGTACATGTCATTACTTTAACTTTTGATCATTGTCTTTGCTGAATAAAAGTATTAGTTTCTTAAAAAAAAATTTTTTTTTAAGTTGCTACTAAATGCCAAACCACTCTTACCAGGAGCAAAAGTCCTTAATAAGAGATGCGTTCTTGTGTGCAAAAAAAGCTAGACTAACAGAATGGAAAAGTATGAAAAAGTTTTTTTTTTTTTTTTTTTTTACTTTTCTGAAATGGTGCAAACTGTCAGCTAAAAAAAAACAGCACAGTGTTAGAATAATAATTAGAGCACCACTGCTAAAAATTTTTATTTTTTTTAAAAAGGGAAAGGAATCTAGATAAAATTGCTGACCACAATAATCGACTAGTTGGTTGTTGGACAACTAGTCAACCACTGTGACCCATTCCTGTAAATTCTTATTTCACCCTACACAGATAAAGATTTATTTATTATAACGAGCCACAGAACTACCATCCATCATCTGAGACAAGTGTAGGGTTCTCTCAGCTCGGGTTATCCCAGAACTGATGACTCTCCCTTTGACTCACATTTCTGGAGAAAAGAATAGAAACAAAAAAACGAAAACCCCAGCTGTTTCTGCTCTCTTTGCACCCTCTGCAAGTGATGAGACACTTAACCTCTCTCATTTTCATGATTTCCTGTTCACTTCCAATGCCTAATAAAAGGATATTTGATATGGGAATGAAAAATATTCTTTAATTTCACATTTTGGTGGAGCAAGGCGTTTATCTAATTGCATGCTCTAAACCAACACTTGCAATAATGTGATAGCAGTTCAACTTTAGGGAGTCACAAGGAATTATTTTTAAACATGATCTCAGAAGCGTGAGTTCACCTAAGATCACATCGGGAGCATACTATCATTAAAGCAAAATTTTTTTAAAAAGAGCTCATATCATGTGTGCACAGTCTGACAGGACATGAAAAAGTCTCGAATTGTGCACTTGTATATCAATTTGATGTGTCCCTACCATCCTTTTCAGTTGCGGTTCAACATCAAAGTCAGAGTACAGTACGGACACATCATTAGCCCAGAAGACATGGAGGGAGGAATCATTTAAGCCCTGTTCTACAATCTAGTGAGCTGCCTCACTGTCTACAGCCTAAATAGATAGCATCCTAACAGTCACAGAACCTCATATGTGAGTGCTCTACATAGGCAGTGCGCCATATAAATAGTGTAGACTTAAACAGTTTGACGCTAGTACTATGCAAAGTTATGATAGCTCAGTAATAAGCATTACAACAAATCAAAACAAAACACCTGAAAATGAAAATTCAGTCATTAATTACTTAAAAATGTATGCTGTATTAAAAAAAATTGTCATATTAGAATAACCAAGTATGGAAGCTTTTTTCCGCCACAGGATAAATAAAGGAAAAAGGTAACTGCAACTTTTTATCAATTATACTTTTTACAATTCAGACTTTTTTCCTCACAATTCAGAACTCCAAATATAAAGTCAGAATTGCGAGATATAAATGCAGAATTGCGTGATTGCAAGATATCAACACACGATTTAGAGATAAAAGTAGAAGTGCAATATATATAAACTTGCGACTGCGAGGGAAAAAAGTTGTGATATAAAAAGTCACAATTACCTTTTTTACTTTTTATTTTGTGGTGGAAATAAAAAAAACTGAATTGAGAGATGTAAACTCAGATTCTGAGAAAAAAATGTAGAATTGCGAGATGTCAACTTGGAATTGCTGAAGTCTTCTGTGATTATATCACAGAAAAAGAAAAACTAAAAAAAAAAAATAATAATTGTATTAGATCAATTTTTTAATAATTAAATTAATTTATAAATTAATTAATAGTTTAATTAAATTTAATTTTCACAAATATTTGAAAAATAATTCATTTACACTGAACTACTTTAATCGATACTCGTAAAAAAATGTACATTACATCTTTTCACTTGAGCTGGTCACAATGCATTCTGGGAATGCATTTTCTGTGAAGGATACATGCAATGCTATCATAAAAGGTGGCTAAAACTGCATAACATTTGATTAAAGGCAAGGAACAACTATGAATAACATCAAGTTGGGAGCACATCATCAATGCTTTAAAATGCAGCCTCCATAGGCAGCTCACTAGGTTTTCGAATAGAGCATTAGACTGGCATTTGGCCACCTCTATTATTCTAGTATTATTTCTTGCAACCATGGCGAGAGAGCGTAAGCCAGAGAGAAAGCAAATGGGGAAATTTGCATCAATAGTGCTGTTGGTGTGTCCAACAAGGAGCCATAATAGACCCGGCACACACAGCATGATCCAGCCGTATAAAACTCTTTATTAGGCATCCGTTTGGGGTTTCTCTGAGGCTTACTCTCCTGTGGGACCTCACTTCCACACACAGATCTGACTGATACTGTAATACCGCAACGCAATGACGAGCTGTGAGATCTGCGACTGCTGATCTGTGAAGATGAGCGTTTGTCAAATCCATTAAAGAGATATAAAGCGCAATCATAAAGGTTCGCAACCAGTTGGTGCTGGGTGTGCATCACCCAGTTAGCTGGATTTATAGGAGGGCTGAGATGCAAACAACCCACAGAGGAATTTTGATAAACGCTTTGCATATCAGCTCCTGTAAGGCACACTTTTACTTTGCATATAAGAGCGTGCTACCACACTGAACTTAATGCATGGAAAAATCTTACAATGTTCATCTGATGCAAGCTGTTGATGAAATGATAATTGAAATTCCCACCAAATCGCAGAAAAAACTGTGAAATTTTAGACACAGGCTGTTCAAACATATGACCCACTGAGGGATGTCATGTCATTCATCACACACATGCTAATAGTCTGCAGAAGCGAAGGAACAACTGCAATCCAATATTTCAGTATTTTTTATTTAATTAGAAAATTTTGGGACCCTTCTAAGCCCTCCAGGGGCTTGGAATGTCTGCACATCCAACGCATCACTGCACAGATAACTGTTTTTTTTTTTTTTTACACAAAATATAATTAACAGGCTTTTTCTTCACAAAATCTTTCACGTTAATGTGTCTGACTTTGATAAGGTGGTTTTATGTGGTTACAAGTTTCAAAAAGTTTTAAAGCTACTAACCACCAAAGTAAATGAAAATGGCTGTACGTTATGAGGTGGCCACATTTCGTCAAACATGCTATCGTATGAGAACACTGCCTTACCATCATTGCCTTCGCTGCCTTCCCTTTTCAGCATTTGGACAGCTCCAACATATTTCTTCAGCTGGACCTTCAAAACCTCGTTTTCTCTAAAATAATACAAATAAAAATGATAACAGAGATCAAATGTGCATGAAAGCTGCTGAGTTCAACAAGAAGCTATTTTATATTCAAAAACATGTTAATTTAACATAAAATTTAAAAATGAGCAGGCTCTCAGAGAACATGTGGAGTTAATAAATAAAGGCAAAGCTAAACATGCAATTAATTAAAATAGATTGAAATTTTAAACAAACATGATTTAAAAAATACTTTATATTGATTCTACACCAATTGGAGGACTCAATGTTTAAATATATTTATGACTGCACATTTTGAATGTTAGGTGTGATTAACTGCACTTAACATGATTATTTGCTATTAATTTTTTTTGAAATATCTTCTGCATCAAGAAAACTGAGTCATTATTTAATTTAATAGTTATTTATTGTACTTTAATAATAAAAAGTCACATTAATCTGAAATAAATTGCCAAATGCCCTTCTGATTAAATTACAATAAATACATCATTAATTTCTGAATAAAATTGTTTCTTATGATCTTGTTCTATTGAAAATATTTTTCTTTTTATTAAATCATAAAAATAAAAAAAATAAAATAAATAAAAAATCTTTGTAAAATAAAAACTATTAAAATAAAACCCTTGCTAAAGTAGTAGTTTGGGAATCCCTGTTCTAGAGGTATGTGGTGCCTCACCAACTTAAATCAACCATGCTGAATGCAAAATTATATTCCGCAGGAATCCACAGATGCTCCTTCAGCACTGCAAATGTACGGCCTAGACATGACTATGCATGACAGCAGTCTAGATGCCCTTCCCAGAACCCATTTCCCTAAGGCTACAGGTAAATAAAATGTCAAACACAGAACTGGCATTATGCAGCAGCTGCTATTATCTTAAGTGTTACAAAATGTGACGATTACTGAGCCAAAACAGAGGTCAAATACAATTCAATGCCAATCAGAAGAGAACATTCTCCAAGACTAAACCAAACGGAAAATACAAAACAGCCGGCTGGCGGCCCCTTCAGATACATAATTGAATTGACTTGTAAACAAGGCCAACCCTGTGTCAGTTTGTCTAAACAGGCTGATGAAGAGCAAGTGGAGGGATGCACCATCCAGGCATGATGCAGATGTCACCAGCATGATACCGAGTGTGGTATTCTCCCCCATAATCCTCTCTTTGACACAGCGTCATACTGACAAGCCTGCCTCCTGCTCTCGGCCGCTGTCCTCCTACTGAGCTAAATTAATTTGTTCATTCACTCCCCACATTATCCCCCTGAGGAACCACTACATTAGAGCTGATGAAATGCTCACAAAAGCAAGATGTCTCTTCCAATAATGCAGCAGCACTTCAGGAAGACAAAAACCCTGGCAGCTCCGCTGCATTGAGTAAAGTATTATTCTGACCGTCAGACGCTGCCACAACCATCCCTTCGTCTGTTTCTGCTCGTCCGGTTGAACTTGGACGTGACGGCGTGGGAGAGCTTTGTGTTGACAGGAGCCTGAGTGTGAGTGTGAGAGCATTTTGGCCTCTTGCTGTATGGATCCTACTTCTTAAATACTGCCCACTGAGCCAGGCTGAATCAATGGAGCTAATCCCAAGAGCACGGCTCATAGGTGCTTCCTCTGAGCACACAGCCGCACCGAGTGTTTCCACACCTTATTTTTAGTCTCTATTGACTGGGACAGATTAGGTTTGAGACTTTTTTTTAAACATTTTTATTGCTTCACAGCCATGATTTAAATATAATTCCACCACTTTTTGTAATAACATGCTTTCTCCTTTCATGCTCCTTGGGTTTGGAATGAATTGCAAAATGTACTCAAACTGGATGTACTTCCACCCTTGAATAATTTTAAATGTCTTTTGCAAACTCTTTTATTGGAGATTTGTAATTGTTTTTCTTTATGTTTCTTTATTTAGTGACTGTATATGAGTATTTGTAATGTTGCTTTATGATCTGTCTAGTGTGAAACTTTGTGCTGCTGTCTTGACCAGGTCTCTCTGGAAGAAGAGATTTCAATATCTCAATGAGATTTTCCTAGCTAAATAAAGGAAATAAATTAAATAAATAAACAGCTTGCATCTTCTATAACATTAAACAGACCCGCACCACTGAAACTAATTTAATACAGTTAGACATTACAAGAAAATAATGCATAAAAAGATATACTAACATCATCCAACACTATCCTGACATTCAGGATGTATGTGCAGTATGCATGAGGAGCCCACTAAGAGACTCCCACAGCAAGCCCCCCACTGAATTCAATTCCAGGAACTGCTTTACACAAAGTTTAATAAGGCTGTTCTGGGGAGTGAGATGTGTGTGCATGCGTATGCGAGCTTGCTTACAAGGCTTGCTACTGGTGGTTTGGGAAAATCAATCAGAATCAATCCAGGTTGTGTTTCTGTGAAAAACATCCTGTCCTATTCCTACAGGACGCCTTTTGTAACTCGCTTATCACTGCCCATTGCATACCCTACAATAGAGGGAGAGAATGAAGGAGATCCAAAGGTGTCTGGCAGGCTCTCAAAGGAGGGGACTCTGTCGTTTTTCGCACCGGCAAGCTGCGCACAATTCCGCGGCGATTTAATTAAAGTTAATAAGTGACAGCTTCTCTATAGGGAGGACTCTGCAAGTCAGGTGTGCCACATTGATCTTTTCCATTGCTCCCACAGAGTGAGTCACAGTATGCACACATGCTAGTGTATTCATATTAGAAGACTAACATCTAGCACAAGAGGGGGACTGCTGGTGTGCCTCTGAAGGGCTTATGGGTCATTTAGTGGTCTACTTAATGAGTTCCACCTTGAACATACACATAATGTAATTCTCTTCAAAGTAATAGTTGCATTAATGTGTGTGTATATCCTCTGAGCACACAGCCGCACCGAGTGTTTCCACACCTTATTTTTAGTCTCTATTGACTGGGACAGATTAGGTTTGAGACAGAAAAACTGACTGGACTCTTAACATTTGAGTTTGCAAGACTCTGAGACAGGAAGCAACGAGACAGATTCTTGTTAGAAAAACATGTTTTACTTAAATAGTGGTAATCAATTTGATGACGCTCATACTTGAAGTGAATTAATACACAAAATGCTTAATGGTTTCTGATCATCTTATAGTGAATAACTGCAATAGTGTTAACATACGCATGTCATTCTTTGGTTTGTCTCAGCAACAGACCTTTTCTGACCTTGATTTTCACCATAGGCATTTTAAAATGCTTCAACAAAGAGTTATAAGCCTTACTTAAAAGACCACAACACAAAATATTATCACCACATTGATTTGACCATGAAGAAAGCATTTAAAAAATGTAATAAAAAAAGGACAAATAAAGTATATAAGGTGTAAGTACTACACAAAGACTGCAAATAATGTGCACTACCATTTAAAAGTTTGTGGTCAGTAAATATATATATATACACCAGGTCAATGTTTTCTCACTTTAAAGTCCTGTAACAATAGTTTTAATTAAATCATTTAACTTAAACACACTTATGACATATTAATACCTGAAATACGTCTTTCTTTTTGTATTCAAAAACACTCTACTATGTGCCCTATACATGTACTCATGTACACCCAGAAGAGAAAAGTTTTCTTTTAAAATCCATTCTTCCACAATGAACCACCTAAATGTAAATCCAGTAGGGAAATTGGTTCATAGAAAAACTATTAAAAGCATGAACTACAAAGGATTTGCTAGACAACCTCCTGGTTGCAGAACTCAGAGTTCCACAAAACCATAATGCCCATTATTCCTAAAAATTCAATCATGTATTCTATGCGTTTAAAATTATATTTCTATTTTTTATGCATTCAGTATAAATATATATATATATATATATATATCATATTAAAATGATTTCTGACGGATCATGTGACACTGAAGTAATGGCTGAGTAATGGCTCATCAATTTTTCAGCTAAATTTTGTTTTTTTTATTTAGTCATTAAAATAAATTATATTTTAAATGTAATTGTACTGAAATAGAAAACAGTTAGTATAAATTGAAATAAAATTTCACAATATGGTTGTTTTTACTGTATTTATGCTCAAATAAGTGCAGCCTCAGGGAGCATAAGACACCTTAGTCAAATACATCAGAAAATCCTAAATCCTAAACCCTCATTTCATATTAAGCAATGAAAACATTAGCCAGCTATTAGCCTGTAGCTAGTCTCTAACAGGTATATCTCTCTTTAGGATCATGACAAATTCATAAATTGTCTTAAGTCGCTGGGGTATATTTGTAGCAATAGCCAAAAATACATTGTATGGGTCAAAATTATAGATTTTTCTTTTATGCTAAAAATCATTAGGATATTAAGTAAAGATCATGTTCCATGAAGATATTTAGTAAATTTCCTACCGTAAATATATCAAAACTTCATTTTTGATTAGTAATATACATTGCTAAGAACTTCATTTGGACAACTTTAAAGGCGATTTTCTCAATATTTTGATTTTTTTTTTTGCACCCTCAGATTCCAGATTTTCAGTTGTATCTCGCCAAATATTGTCATATCCTAACAAACCATACATCAATGGAAAGCTTATGTATTCAGCTTTCAAATCTTAATTTCTCAAAATTGACACTTAAGACTGGTTTTGTGGTCCAGGGTCACATATACTGATGTTTGACAAACTCAAAGCTCAAGTCTTTGAAGTCTGTGGCAACGAACGTATGAATTTGTTTTGTTGCAAGCTGCAAGTAAATGAGATAAATGAAAAAACGTCCATGAAATAAATGATCGGCTACACTGTACATTTGGTCAGATGGACAATCTGGCCACAAAATAAACACATTTTTCAATTATTTATTTTATATTATTGTGCAACATTTACTTGCACCGTGTCTTCACCGGATGGAACAAAATACTATAGAGCCCATTATAATCAGTGATGCTGTCTACACTGGATGCCGCGCGGCACGACACAACAGATCCCCGACAGTAAACTGTTGCCTCATTCTATTTATGAAGTGCTGCCACAATATTCAAATGATTTGCAACGGTCGCTTTGTCGCGTCCAATGTAGATTTTATCTGTTGCAGTGCGGCGAGACAACTGTTGCATCGGTGTAGACACAGTGTTAGACTGCTGAACAGTTCGAAGTAGCTAGAGTCTATTACCAATTTTTAGGTTTTCTTTGCCTTGAACTAAAAAAAAATCTACAGTGCTTCACATGTAGGCCAGATGTTTTCTGTCTAAGTAGGTGGTGTTTGGTTTAAAATGCAATGTGGACTAGACTGATAGTCGGCCTATGTGAGACTGTTCGATTAGTTTCTAGTGACATTACCTCATGAGAGCTTGGACTTTGGCTGCATGTCTCTCCTCTAGTTCAGCCAGTCTCTTCTTCAAGCTGTCGACCTCCTGCCTGAGCCCAGCAGAGTGCTCCATCTCTCCATCCAGGAGACTGCGCAGAGACCTGTGCCAAAGAGTATAACAACAGTAAGACACACACACACACACACACATCTGACCCACTTTTCCTTAGCTGTCTTTAATGACTAGAAGTGCACATGATAATTACCCAGCTGCACATCATGGTACTTTTCACAAATAGGGTACAAAAAAGGTTTGACACTCAATGAAATTCGAGTTTTGTTTTGTTTTTTTTACAAAAAGGTCAGTGAAATCTCAGTATTATTCTATTTCTATTTATTAAATAAAGTTAAAAACCCTGATATACACAACAGTTCAAATAATTGGGGTTGGTAATGTTTCTAAAAGAATGCTCACCAAGACTGCATTTATTTGATAAAAAATACAATACAAATTTGTAAGGCTCATGTTTCATGAATAAACGAAAACTATCTGTCCATAATGATCACTGCAATCAGTAAACTCTTACGTGTTCTGCTCAGTGAGTTCATCTTTCCTGTTCATCATGGCCACAATGGCTTGCCGCAGTTCAGCTAAGGAGAAAAAAAATCAATGTTATAAGGGTATCAAAACCTACTCAAAATGAACAATGGCTTTTGTCCTCACCCGACTCAGAAAAAAGCATGGCTTCTGAACAATAAGACTCAATATCTCAGTGGGATTTAATGTCCCACACCTGTCTTCATTCTTTCAATAAGGGTTACTGTTTTATACCGCTGACATTTTCATTTGTGTAGCACCACAGAACTAATAAAGAGAACTATGTGAGGCTTAAAATACCAGCCCGACATTAATTTCTTTAAAATGAAGGTGACATGAAAGGGGAAGGCATTTATAACACAGCCGTAAGGGAAGCCTCTGCAGATTTAGCCTCAAAACACATTAGCCTTGTGAAACGTAAAGCTCTGACTGGGAAGCATTATTACAGCACTTCAAAACACTATGGAAAAAACGGCAACACTCGGTACAGTCTAAATACAGACTGGTGAGCGAAAAGGAAAGGGAGAATCAGTTTCTTTGTTGTTGCACTCTGAAAGCTGGATGACCTGGCACTGGGTAACCTAGATAACCCCAACAACACGGCTCCAAAAGACAACGTCTGAACGCTTCTATCAGTCCATTATCATTTAATGAATCTAAGAGGAACCGCAGGCTTGAACAGAGCCATCTATATAAACCTGGCTGGTCTGATTCACATTTAACAAGCTTAAAGTACTTTCAGCAAAAGAAAGTCAAAGATGTCTTTATTTTTTATTTTTTTGAGGAACAACAACATTGGTATCTTTTGAACAGTGATATAGTACAATTACTGTCTCTCTAAGAGAAAAAGCTTTTCAGACCACCAGAGATCAATTTGGCAGCCATAGACATAATCTGAAACAGCTTCACTTATGCGCAATGTCCCTTTCAAAAACTAATTCCAGAAAATGGTTACAACAATAGGACAACATTTGTTTTATGGAGTCTTTTTTCCAGTCTGGTTACTGTAATAAATCTGGCCAAGTGATACACTCAGGACATGAGTTATTGAAAAAGGGATAGAAATTAGATTACAAAAAAAACATACAGGGGCAGGCATGCAAAAAATTGTCCCAAATGAATAAGTAAATTAAAGAAACCAACCTGAGGCTAAAAGCAACTCCTGAAAATTACAAATTACATCTCTCAACAAAATGTAACTTCAACCCTTGAGGGAGAAATAAACTCAAAGGCAAAAAAAAAGCATCAATTCAATAATAACCCCAAACCAAGACACACTCCAAAAAAATAATATTTACAAGACCATACAAATGTACCCATAATTAAAGTAAAGTAATATGTAAATTAATAATCAAAATAATTCAAAATAATTCAAATAGTTTTTAACTAAGTAAACATTGCTTAAAAAAAAAAAAGTGTTCAAGTTAGTAATAAAATGAATAATAAAGAAACATAGGGTAGGGGCGTGTTTGTTTTGGTGATTTCAAATATCAACATTGGCTACCAGAAATCCCTTACTCTGCCTTTAACAGAACAAGTGACGTCTGTGATTTTCAGTTACACTTCAAAACTTCATTTACAGACATTATGACATATTTTTGTGTCATCCGTTGCTATGGTTATCACTTTGTCAATCACTGCAATTTCAAGTTATGAATTTAAATACAGCTGTTACTCCCATAACTTTGCAGTTTGTAGTGAGTGGTTAAAACTTTTCTTCAAACTGTGAATGGGTTTTCTTCAAAAAGTGAACAAAGAGCATGTGCTTCATAATCACTGAAGCGGTGAATCACTTCAGTTCAGTGGAATCTCACTGAGTTACACACTCTTGAGAAATTTCCTGTTATAATCAAAAAAGCTGTTTACACTGCACAATTAATCTCTCATCTGCATCATGTTTATACTTTGTTGGTTATAATGAAACAATTAGTGAGCGTGCAGAATTCACTCTATGAGCTCAAGCTGAACATTGAGGGGATTCTGACTAACAAGCACGTTCGTTTCATCATTGCATTAATGCACTCAGCATATATGTCTGATTGTCTACAGTGCTCAATGCTGCAAAAAAAACATTGTAAACTGAAGCCTTTGATACCCTTAACAGAATGCTCATACAAATAGGTACTATTACTAACACTGCCAAAGACTGTAGGTATACAAAGATACAAAGTTATCATATTACTTATGAATGGGAGAAAGTGCGAGGCACAATATGGCAGAATAGTCCTGACTTTAGTCCTGCCAATCGCTAATTGGTAAAGTCATCGCATCACTGCAGCTGCCGTTAGAAGCTCCGGTTACTATACACCTTATCTAGCCCCGCCCCTTTATAGAACTGCGCTTGTTTGTGTTCTGCCTTACAGTTTGTATTTCGGGAGCATGAGGGTAAGATCTTATGAATTTATGAATGAACCGCTCAAATATGAAATTGTAAGTTTGGTGAACAGCTTTGGAGCATGTGATGTTTCCCCATTCAAAGAACAAGAGCTGTATTTGCATGACTGAAATAGCTGCCCGAGGCACCTTGCAAAGATGGCCGCAGAATGACTTGCCTTAAAGGCAGGGTATGTGATTTTTCAAAAACACTTTAGAAAACTGATTCGGGCCGAATAGCAAAACAAACTTGTAGTCAATCAGCAATAAGGGGCGTGTCTACTCGTGATGTGGAGGAGAGAGCTTTCAGTGCATGGGACGGACATTAGCCGAGCAGAGCGACAGAAAGATAGAGATAAAAAACAAAAGAGTAAAACGTCTGCGGAACGATAAGGCAAGAAACAGGACCCGTGTAAATATCGGATCAGCTTTCCAGCGCTGGAGAGAACTCAAGGAGCGGAGGCCTGCGATCGGACGCCGAGGTTGCTTTGTTTCTTCTCAATAGGTGAGTAACACCGTGTCTACAACAGCTAAAGTCTACCTCACACTGGACAAGATCAAACAACCGTTGAATACCATTTGAAATTTGTGTCAGCACGTCATAAATAGAACCCGGCAGCAGTTTTCTGTCGGGGATTTGTTGCGCCGCGCCGCTCACGTCAGTAGACACGGTGTAACATTGGTTTTGCTTTGTTTCACAGAACTAATCGTTGCCTGGGTTGCGTATGTATATGTGGGGCGGAGCTATCAAAATAGGGGCAAGACCCTTTTGGGGTAGGGGCGTGTTTGTTTTGGTGATTTCAAATATCAACATTGGCTACCAGAAATCGCTTACCCTGCCTATAAAGGGACTCTGATATTACGCACTGCCAATCAGCTGCTTTCAAATGCTTCCATATTTGTCATACTTGTGAGACAAAAAAGGGGAGTGAAACTGGCTTACTGTATTTATAAGCTAAACTTTTAACATTATCATGAAATTTACAACATTCCCTAAATTTAAAGTCAGCAAAGATACTGCGATAATATGTTAATATTCGATGCATCAACCAGCCCTACCACTGAATACCACAACTAGCCAATTAGAATCAAGTATTTCAGAGTGTTGTGTACATGTTTCTAATAAAGACTGTTTGCAAGCTGCAAACTGTTTCACATAAAGTACAGTACAAGAATTATATACATAAACAGGGGTGTAATTATTTATCTCATATAAGATGCATTTGGTTGAGTTACGCTGCAGTAAAGCGCGGCATAAACATAACGTTAAAATGAGAGCACCGTTGTAAAAAATGTTGTGAATTCTTAAGAGTTTAGCTGACGTTTTCAGCGTGTTGTTACAAAAAGCATGTCCACAGAAGGAGTTACACATTCTGACTAAGTAACTTAGTTCAAGTTCACTTGTGCTTGATTTTGTGCAATATAATCAGGGCCTGAATTTCACTGCGGGATTGCGGGCATTGTGTGTAATTCTACACATTCCCGCAGAATTTGCAGATTAGTCATTTTAAAGCTTTCTGTGAGACAGAATTTCACAATCTGTGTGAGTGATTGGGATTGAGTGGTACCGCGTCTTCTGCCACTCCCTCAAAATACACAAATGGCCTCACATCCGTAACATCCACGTTGAGTTTGGTCTGCAAGCGAGCTGCACACTGCAATACAAGACTAGCGCACGTTTCGGACAGTTGACGGACTTGTCACTTGCACATCATTTTAAGTCATGCCAATTTAAACATTCAAGCTATTTTAACCCATAAAGTAAGGGAGAGTGGGGACAGTTGCAACATGGCTTATTTCATCAATCAATAATGAGCTACAGTGGTGAAATACATACTACACATGCTCAATTAGCCCCTAATCCTTCCTGGAAGAAATCAGCCACATGCGACTATTCCTTCAATAAAAAATAATTTTCATGGTAAAAAAGTATTTTTTTAATGATCAGACTTTTTTGTCATACTTAAGTTTTTGTTTGAAGCGTTGTAAAGTCATATCATTTTAATCTGTGTTTTCTTAGTTTCTAATAGGCATAGCTAACATGTGTCAAAGATAAACGTTGTTGCAAACCCTTACCACAACATTGATGTAAAAGCTTGCCATAACATTACATAATTGTAATTTTATGGATTAATAAAGAACCCCTTTCAATAGTTAAGTATCGCTCCTTTTTTATAGTCTCTGAGAAAGTAAAAGAAATGGAAAAAGTGTTGCAACCGTCCCAACTTTCCCCTACTCATGCATTCTCTGAGAGACTGTCTTTAATGCGCTCTCAGCCAAAGCGCACACAGCCACCTCAAACAGCTCACGACTCTCGAGTGTCAGATTGAGTTATTACATATTTGATTCAAATCATTTCCTTATTGTCCGGCTATCCCATTTTATTTATCCATGTCACATGCATTTTTATATGTAACCTAGTAATGATGTCCAATGACTTGTTTGCATTATTTAGACATTAATTATTTTTAATAGATCAGGGGTCTCCAAACTCAGTCCTGGAGGGCCGGTGTCCTGCAAAGTTTAGCCCCAACTTGCCTCAACACACCTGCCTGGAAGTTTCTAGTACGCCTAGTACTCAATTAGCTGGTTCAGGTGTGTGGGCTGGAGCTAAACTCTGCAGGACACCGGCCCTCCAGGACCAAGTTTGGAGACCCCTGCAATAGATTTTTTGGTAACACTTTACAAAGCAACAACTTTTAAAGTCTCATTTGTTAATGCTTTAATTAACATGAACTAACAGAGAGCAATTACTGTTGTTATTATTATTATTAAGTTAAAAGTAAATCTAGTGTTCTTTAGCATTGCTGGTGCCATGGCATGAACCCTACCCCCACAGCAAACAGAACCTAACCGAACCAAACCAAACCGTGGCTCCAAAACCTTAATATGAACCGAACCGTGGCATCGTTACACACCTAATAACACATTTTACCAAACCAATCAGTTGATAAGGATGTTTTCACCCACACAAAGGATTATAAATATGTGTTGCACTATGCACTTGTCATCTACACAGGAGCACAGAAGTGTCTGTGTGTGTGCTGGAGAAGGATCTGGGGGAGAATTTTTGCAGAGGAGCTCGCTACCTCTCCCAGAGCCCCTCATCTGGAGGAGGAGAAGCACACCAGAGTGAGGTGGTCCAAGTATGTTTGTAATCCTGAGAGGAAGCAGGCAAGTACATGAGGCGAAGCTTTGACTTCCTTCCCAGAAAGCCAGTTTCACAGACAGCAGTCTGAGACACCTGGCACTGGTACACATTTAGCACAGGCTTTTCATCAAAGGCTATTTACGGTGCATTATCTGCATGAAGACTCCCTCTGGAGTAACCTGGGATTAAGTGTCTGCTTAAAGGCACAATGGGGTCACCCCTACTTGGGATTGAACCTGCAGCTTTGTGTTACAAGTAGGGGTGTAACTATACACTCATGTCGCCATTCGGTTCGATACACATACTGATCTCATTTGATACTGATCTCACAAAAGGGTTACTCTCATGATACTTTAAACAAAAAGCAAAATAAATGGGAAGGGTTTATTACTATTATTAGTAGTAGTAGTATTTATAAGACAAAAGACATATGATAAAGTTTACAAAAAATACGGTTTATAAAAATGCTAAAATTGGTATTCAATCAGGGGTGGACCTGAACAGGCTTGGACTTGGTCCTGGTGCCCAATGCACAGGGCAAAGGTAACACCAAAATAGAAATGTTAATGATTCTGCTTAGCTGAAAATACAGAATTATGTTAGGCTGTCACTGATTACATACATTTAAAAAGTTTAATTATTCTTAAACTATAATTATATTATAGTTTAAATATGATTCTTTTTTATATTTTATCTAAAATATATTTATATTATATTATATTTTATAGTAATTTACTTGTAAAATCAGACATTCGGCATTATCAGGATGAATTTTACATTTTGTACCACAATATATCATGTCATGATACTATCAGTACACCCCTGGTTACAAGCAAACATGTATTGCCATCATTTAAGTCAATGTTTCCACTAGGGATGCTCCGATCCGCCTTTTTCACCTCCGATACCGATGCCGATACCTAGGGTTCAGTATTGGCCGATACCGATCCGATACCAGTGAAGTTTTTTTTTTTCCATTTAAATAAATGTAGAATTTATATATCTCTGTGTGTGGAACTGATAATCATTCTTTCACAATCTA